ATGTCATAAACCTACATTTCATGATGTCATTTCAAACTTATCCAAATTCCAAATCAAAGCACCAAAGGAAGGAACTAGTTCATCTGTTGTTTCAGACTGAATGGAATATTTTGGTTTCAGCCAAGGTGGTTACTTATTTCTTGTCTAAGCTTCATATTAGAAAAGCCTGGGTGAGGCTGTTTGACTCAAGCAACTTTTCTCAGATGCTTTTCTTCTTTTATTGTTTTAGACACAGTGCCAGAATATTCATTATTCACCTAAACTTCTCCTGACCTTAAATGCTAATCCAGACACTAACACCCTTTTATTCTACTGCATCTATTAATTCTATGCTCTTGACTTGACCTATAAATCCCTCCAGCAGAAAGCAACCCAGAAAAAAAACACACACCTGAACACATAACGTAGAGTACAAGCAAAAATATAGTGGATAATTTATTCTTACACAGCCTGTTAAGAGAATCGTAGAATCACAGAATCCTTTAGGATGTAAAAGACCTTTAAGATCATCGTCCAAATAAGATCGCTGCTTTGCATGCACAGAACAGTACAACCCAAAGCTACTTTCCGAGTAATATATGCCTTAAGTAGACATTTCCTGGGTTCCCATTCCTTCTGTGTAGCTGTACTGACAGATGATTTAACAAAGGTCTGGTCATTCAGACTGACAGTGAGCACCCAAGAGGACCCCAGGTGGGGTATTTCCAAAGTCAGACCAAGATAGATGTAGAGCCACATACACAGAGATGCTATATTCTAATAGTTGGCTCCAGTCAGAAAGGTGACTGCAGCTATCTTATTATCTCAGTATTTATACAGCCTATCTCAATATTTACACACGATAGCTCTGTCCAAAATCAGATAAAAACTGAAAGCCACAAGCTCAGAATAACAGTGCCAGTTGTATGCTGCTGGATAAGATATTTTAAGGCTACCAAAAGCCTATATGCAGTAAGTTTTCATAAGAAGTACATGTCTTTAATATTATCTAGATTTCAAATGTATTTTTAAATCTCAATCCATCAGTACCTCTGATGATCAAATGACCTTTTCATTAAAATAAATTCCAGAATATTGTACAGAATGGCAGAATATTAATCCAAAATCCATCCCTGAAGGAAATGCAAATATTTCAAAAATGATACTTCTTTGGTTTTTTTGGTTTTGTTTTTTCTTAGGAAGAAGAAGTTATATCAGAATCCAACTTACTCAGTCCACCGAGGAGAAGTCAAGAGAACCTGCTGAAAGGTTTCTGAATCATGAATGGTTTTATATACCTTCCTAGACCACCAGGCTGATGCAAGAAAACAACGTCATATTTGTGCATTAGGTTCCATTACTCCCCAAACAAAATTTGACGTGTAATTACAGTAATTGTTTTGCTTACTGTTTGTGTTGATTATCCTATTCTCACCAGCACATGTCTTGCACAGTTCCATCCCTGGATTCCTTTCATTTTGTGGTTTTAAGCATCAAACCCATTCTTGCAGCTGGGATGGTGTGAAAGCAGCCACAGGACTGAACTCGGTCCTGCATGGGAGCCCTGACAGAGCTGCAGCTGGGCAGAGGCTCTGGAGGACTCATCCTTGAAGTTCTTTAGAAAACAGGAGTTTGTTTTCCTTGCATAACATTATGATGTCCAAGAATGCATAAGAGCCTAACCTAGTATTAGTAGTAAGTGTGCTTGCTAGTTTAAAGCTTGTTAGGACATGTTTACGCCGACTGTAGTCACTGCATGACTACAGTGTCAAGATTACCTTGGAGAGACACTCCTAGTAGAGCACAGAATTGCCCATGGTGGCCTGGCTCCTCATTTCGTGTTCAAGTCTCTTCCAAGGCAAAAATATAAAACAGCATCAAGGCTTGAGGTGGCAGCTGTAGCCCAAACTGAGCGTGAAGTCTCCTCCTCCGCAATAGGTTTCATGGGAAGAAACATAAGGGGAGAAAGCTCATTTTGGTTAAAGTGGGATGGTGAGAGGGATCTCAGAATTGCTCAGTCTGGTTTGGAGTAAACCACTCTGTCCCCAGTCCCTTTCACAGTGGTTATGGTCGCAGCTGCATCAGAAAAATGTTTATGAGTGTGAGGAAGATTGTTGTGGGAAACTCAAGGTAAGTGAGCAATGATCTGCAAATCCTTTTAATATCCAGGTGGGCCAGGAAAAGGAGAAGCAACTGATTTATTTAAGATTGCTTAGGAAGGCTTTGGCAATACACAGAACTAAGAGTTATAATACCAGCTTTTTGCCAAATTTGACCTGTTGTGAAGAAGCAGCAATTCATGCCATGTCTGAAGCACAGACCCAGTCCCTGCAGATGACACAATACTATTTAAATCATCAAATATGCCTTCATCTGGAAAGGGGCATATTTGGCTAACTTGTTCTAAATATGATAGCAGATGGCTGTCTTTTAATCAAAAATAACCCCAAAGGGATCCAAATTCCCAAGGTGTTAATCACTGCCTGATTCAGAGGATCATGTGGGTGACCCTGACATACATATTCTAAAGGGACGCTATGATTCAATACTGTGGAGTTTAATACTGCCAGCCTGTTATTAACATCATAGCACCAGGATACTTTGCATGTATAAAACATCGCTGGGTGTTTGCAAAACTATCTGAAAGCATTTCCTCAGAACATTTCCAATCAGTGTTCTTGCCTAGAGGATCCTCCAACATCACTCTGCTTCCAAGAGATAATTGGTAGCATAGAAGTTGCAGCAATAATACGCAAAAATATTGTATATGTATGGGAATGAGGAAGGGGAAATGAACCCAGGAACTATTTAATGTCCACATACGCCCCTTCTTAGGCTGGCAGGTGGCAAGATCATAGTGACAACCAGAACTGCTATCCAGGCAGATATACACACTTTTTACTCACAGTTCTGGAGCTAATCAGAAGAGATGGAACATGTTGCTGAGAGAGGGTTTGAATGGTATCTGTCAGGTGCTGTTATTACAGGCACAACCCAAAACATCAACCTCTGGCAACTTTGGGAAAGCGTAGAATGACTGTCATTCACCGCCAGCTCTGTTCAGCAGCACCAACCCTGCCAGGCAAATTTTGCCATCGAATGACTCCTCCTGCACGCCTGCATGATCATCCTGAAGCTTTTGTCCTGTATTTGCCTGTCTAAGAGGCATTTCCAGCTTCAGTTGTTCATCCTCTACTATGATGTTTCTGACTCAGCCATTTCCCATGAAGCCCCACGACAGAATCAGGGCTGCAGGAAGAGCCACTTGGTATGAGCTCACTTAACCCACAACAGCTTAAAAGGGAGGTTTGAGAGAGCCCAGCTTTCATATGCATAAGTACATTTATTTGCTCATTTATATTATTTACATGCATAAAATCAGTGATAAGGAAGTAATTGTACAGTCCTGTGAAGGATTTCAGACTTCAAACAGGTGAAGTTACAAATGCTGTTGTGAACTGGTACATTAAAAAAATATGAACTGCTTGAGAAGGTGAATATTCTTCAAAAATGGTGCTGAGCAATGCCAAAGGCTTGTTGGAAAAAAAACCAAACCCAACAGAATTATAAGAGATCATTATGGAAGAGAACTGGTAAGGTTGCCCTCAATTATTCATGGAAAAGATTTCTCTTCTTTAAAATGTTCCCGTACAGGGATTCCATCATCTCACTTGTAGATCTGTCAGCAGCTGGCTTCTCCTACAATTAGAAAGTGAGTTGGGCTTTTTTTCTGTAAATCTAATCTTAGTCTTAGTCTTCTTTGTTCAGTATAAAATGATGACTTCACATCCTGTTTTTCCACTGAATAAAGCGATTTTATTGCTTTTCTTTCTTTATGATTTTTTATTCCTTCTTATAAACCTCTCTAAAATAAATAAATTAAATGTAATTGAGAGTTTCTCGATGTAAGTAAGTAAGACCAAGAAGACCAAGAAGAGACTTATTTAAACAAATGTAAGGAACTGAAAGGGAGGAGGCAAGATTTGTCCAATTAGGAAATACTGTTATTAGAGAAGGAAGAACATGCAAGCATTTAATTATGATTATAAGTAATTGTTCAAATAATTTGGCAAAGATGAATTACTACTCACTGACTTTACAACAAAAGTGGGTATTTAGTCAAAAGGTATATGGTAGCTTAAAGAGAAATTAGAGAATAGAAAGTGCTAGGTAATATTTGCTGATTCATATTGTCCAGAAGATCCCTCCTGGCCAAACAATCTATAGAGGCAAGAATACAAAATATCTCTTGTGACTTAAGGTATGGTGTGGCACTAGCACCCAGTCTCAAAACCTGTTACTTCCAATTGATAGAATAGCAAAAACAACAGAGAAAGAAAACCTGTATACACACATGCCAGGAGAAAAGAAATTCTGCAAGATTTCTGATGAAATTACAGGGAAAAAAAAAAAGCACAAATGCTGTACAATTATACAATAAACTCTACAGTTACATCCACATTGATGTTAAAGTTGTGTCATCAGTTTATATAAAAACAGTAGGCCTACCTTCGAGTTAGCTTATGTAGCTGCCTTTAGCATTGAGTTTCTTCCCATGATCTTAATATCAGGGTAGAGAGCTGTGATTCACCTTCTTGCCCCCGTTGCTTTCAGCAGGCAGGTAAAGTCTGTGAGGACTCTTTGATTTCACCTTGCTTTTCTCTCCATTGCCTTTCCAGACATACAGAGACATGGAAGAGACAGCAGAAAATAATAATTATTATTTTCATATCACTCATTTTGTCTTTTCTCTTACTCACATTTATGTCTTACACTGACACATCTATGTGACTCCTGTTAGTCAGCAGAGTAGTCCAATCAGATTCACGAGGATTAGTCATGTTGTTTTGGGAAAGTATCTTCAAAACCCTTAAGAGGAGCACAAGTCAGCCAAGGCAGAGCTGAAGAACCTGTGAACACAAACCTAAACACTCACTGTTTCTTTAAGAAAATTCTAAACCCCAGAAACCTTTGAGTGAAAGAATTATCATGTCACAATTAATAAAAGCTGATATTGTACATTCCTGCTTTCAGGCAGAGCAGGTCTGCCATGAGGTCCGATTTCTAGGAAGGCATCAGATGATTTACCCTTTTGATTCTATGCCAGGTGACACTACCAGCACACACTACAGGATGTGGTGCAAAATTTATATCCCTTGCATCAAACACTACGCTATAGTGTAATAGAAAGGCTGGATTCTCATCCTGGACACACATAGACTTCTCAGGGCAATTGCTGAATTACCCAAAAGATTGAAATTCATGAAAACATGAATTATAGTACAAGAACACCCCACCCCCCAAAAAAAAAACAACTAAAAAGAGGGTTGAGTTTGCATGCTACTAAGTTTTAATGACAGGGAAGCAAAGGGCACATTTGGTGAAGACAGTCACGCAGGGCTTTTGGAAGCAGCTCCACACGTGCCAGCACAGTCGATCGCTTGGACATCACCGGGTTGCAGGGTCTCTTGTGAGGTTTGCACAGCCCAGGGCTGCTGCAATGGGACACGCTGCCCCTTCAGAAGTAACCGGAGCCACAGCTTCCCCCACCAAACCTCCTGTAGCTCCCACCGCTCTGACAGCTGCCCCCACCAAAGGAACGGCCACCTCCAAAGGAGCCCCCACCATAGGAGCTGCCACCTCCGCAGGAGCCCCCAAAGCCCCCACCATAGGAGCTGGAGCCAAAGGATCTTCCACCTCTGCCAAATGACCTGCTTCCTCCATAGGAGCCCCCAGAGCCAAATGAACTACCCCCTCCATACGAACCCCCCATTCCGTATGAACCACCTAACGAACTGCTTCCTCCATATGAACCCCCAGCACCATATGAGCCCCCTGATTCAATAGGGCCCATTCCCCCTGAAAAGCCCCCAATGGAAGATGGGAAGGAGCTGCCCACGATGCTCTCCTGAGGGCAGGAGCTGAGGATGGGGCCTGGGAAGGTGATGACCACGGGTGGTGCATAGACCACGGCACGGGAGTCCCCACAGGAGGCGACGCAGGGCTGGCTGCTCCAGGCGTTGGCACATGGCTCTGGGCAGGTCACATCACAGGGTGAGGAGCAACCACTGCTCACAAGCTGTCCTCCTGAAGACATCTTTTGTGATGTAGATAAACCTGCAGCACAGGTTAAGGAGGAAAAGTAAAATGTATATGGAGGTCTGTGCCTTAAAACAAGTACCGTGATAATAGAAGTTGTATTTTTCCTGATAGAAGGAATTACTTTCTTATAACTATGACAGTTACTCCTGTGGACATATCTGGCTTTACTCCAGTTTGAAATCCTGAACTTTACTATTTTTAAAGGTAAATAATACAAGCACAAATACTACTTCTCTCACTGTCCAGTGTAGCTGTCAATAAGGAATATTCCTTTCTAAAGCACCTTTAGCCTGTCTTTATTCTGAGAGTGTATCTTGCCCTCCACCACTAACCTCTAGTTCTGTTAAGGATAAATCACTAATTTCTTCATCCCAGCTACTGGGTTCTTTTGCAAACAGGTTTGACAGACCCTGTAGTTACAAACAGAAATCTGCAGTGGGGCTTTTGCCATATATATATATACATATATGTATATATATATATATGTGCGTGTGTTTGTACACATACGTATTTTAATAAATGCCAAGCTATAAATTGTTAAGTCATAACTTCCTCATTAAATTAACAGAATTTAATTGGCACTTTCCTTCTGTGGTTAGGAAGAACACAGCCTCATATTTTAACACCTGAATCTACCAGCAGTTACTACTGAATGGTTGCAAAAACCCCCTATCTGCTTAAGGAATAAAACAAAACTGATATTGGTGATCATAGCAGATATTGACATAGAATTCATCCCCAAGTTAAACACTGATAGCAACATCCCAGTTAGTATAAAGTAATTAAAAGGAAAAGTACCTACCAGGTTCACAGCGAAAACCAGACTGGAAGTTGTTGCTGAACGTGGAGGGAATGCAGTGCTTTTATATACAACTCCAGACTGCTACCAGGATATGAAACAGAGTTTTGTACATGGAACATAATAGTTAGCCGGCAAAACTTTTTGCTGCATAAGCTACTTCTAATTGTAATAATTGTTTTGATAACTGATAATGATTAATAAATCAGCTGCACATCATCCAATAGCGCAACACACCCTTTGTCTTACTGTAATCCTTAAATAGTTTTAGCATCCATTTTATGACTACTGTCATGTCCTGACCTCATTTGAATTGCAATTGTAGTGAACTGAGCTCCATTTGCTTAGCAAGGCAAAAGCATCAGTCTTTCCCTTAAAAAAGGTAGAAACATCAGTTTGGCTTTGTCAGGAGAAATATTTTCTTCTCTGCAGAAGATTCCATTTCAAATCAGAATTGCACAAAGCTGGAAAAACTACAGATTGAGACTTTTTAATTCCTCAGATGGGAGGGGTCATTTTTTCTGCCTGTTTGACATCCACCCAAGCACCTGCTTACAAAAGTGCTTAACCAAATGTCCACTGTCATCCAAATAAGTACAAGGAAGCACCATGTGAGAACATGGAGTAATTTCATTATCATCCTTCTCCTTTTGTCATCTTTCAGGAGAGCTGTGGTATTCTATCCAGACACATTCCTCTTGTCCAGGAGCCATGATTTGAGAAAAAGTAGTCTTTTTAGATACAGAATGGATGCATATGGAGTGTATAAAGATGATTTAATCTTAAACAAAATAAGAGCATGTTAAGAATGGCAAAGGCTATTTGTTTTTCAAGAAAGCCATAGCAGTATTCCTAAACTAGTACTTAAAAGCCTCATATATTAGAAGACAGAGGAAGAAATGAATAGATAGTAAAAGATATCTCTAAGTAAAATTTCTTTCATCAATAACCAGAAACAGTCAGAATATTAGATGTGATCCATATTTTTGTGTGGTTACAATACAACGAAATAAAACCCAACAAAACCCACCATGTAGATCACTGATATAAACCACCCAACTTACAGGTTTTCTAAGTGAACTAAAATCTAGATTTTAACTCTCAGCTGTGGGAGGAAAGCAGCTGCTGCCTATCTGAATCAAAATGGCTAATCCATACAGCAAAACAGTCTCTTCCACTTATCATTCTGTGTTTAATGTTTGTATCATTATAATGTTTATATCATTTATATTACCAGATTTCTGGTGCTTTCAAGCCCAGTTAGAAAACAGAGCACAGGGAACGTATATGGTTAAGGTCTTGCATCAGAATGTGAACGAGTCCTGTCAGGCATTAGTGGGCAGCCATTGATATGACAGTTTTGCTAGTCAGCAATTCTTTGTTAACTCCTCAGTTAATGCATCTTCCCAGTTTCCTACTGTTGCATTGAGAAATTTCAGTTCACATGAAGAGCCCTGGGCACTGCTGCTGATTCTCACATTTCAGCAAGCGGTAGCACTTCTTTTAACCACCCAACTATTTGCAATTCAGATTTTGAAGAAGTAGAATATCACGTACAAAACCTATTTACCAGCTCCAAATAACCTCACATGCATCTATACTCATTCCAGCTTCAACTCCAGTGAGGGCCAGGAGCAATATTAGCTGCTAGATGATTTTATCAGGGCTGGAGTATAAAACTCAACATGAGGCGTGAAATGATTGTAACATGACTTGGAATTAAGAATAAAGTTGTGACCGCATCACTTAAAGGAACAATTAGAACAATTAAAGAAATAATCCATACAGCAAAACATAGTTTGGTAATGCGTAGGAAGGTCTTGCACAAAGCATGGCTCACATCCCACTGGTGGTCTGAACAGGTATATAAGAGCACTCCGAATGCTTCAGTTTCATCAACAGCAGCTCTTCATCTACACTTCTCCAGACCTGGTGAGTTGGATCTCGTTCGTTCTCTATATGAACCATTAGGGAAATAATTTCGGTATGTAACTGAGGTCTTAGTCTTCTGCAGAAGTGTGATGCTAAGCAATGATGTTTGCCTCTGGAGATACATAATTTTTATGATAATTTAAATGCATGTCTTTGCAGAGACAGTTGATGAATTGAAAGACTGGATTTTCACAGGCACTTAAATCAATTTAATATTGTCAGTTATCTCCAGAACTCTATATGATAATCCAACAGAATCTTGAAAAAGAGCTGTTTCCAGAGACAAATGGAGTTTGGCTTTGCTATCTATGATTACCAGGATTTCTAGAGCAGCAGAAATTACTTTGGGAAGTAGCAGGTGTTAATTCATCCATGTCCAGAGAAATGTGTAAAAGATAAATCAGAATCTTTCAAAATACTCTTCTTCCACCCATCTAATTTCATGCTCATGAAAGACATCAGAACAAGCTTTTTTTCCACTGACATTCGGGCATTGAACATGTGCTTTATCTCCTGCTGCAGGTGTACCTGCATCACAAAAGATGTCTTCAGGAGGATATCTCATGAGCAGCGGTTGCTCCTCACCCTGTGATGTGACCTGCCCAGAGCCATGTGCCAACGCCTGGAGCAGCCAGCCCTGCGTCGCCTCCTGTGGGGACTCCCGTGCCGTGGTCTATGCACCACCCGTGGTCATCACCTTCCCAGGCCCCATCCTCAGCTCCTGCCCTCAGGAGAGCATCGTGGGCAGCTCCTTCCCATCTTCCATTGGGGGCTTTTCAGGGGGAATGGGCCCTATTGAATCAGGGGGCTCATATGGTGCTGGGGGTTCATATGGAGGAAGCAGTTCGTTAGGTGGTTCATATGGAATGGGGGGCTCGTATGGAGGGGGTAGTTCATTTGGCTCTGGGGGCTCCTATGGAGGAAGCAGGTCATTTGGCAGAGGCGGAAGATCCTTTGGCTCCAGCTCCTATGGTGGGGGCTTTGGGGGCTCCTGCGGAGGTGGCAGCTCCTATGGTGGGGGCTCCTTTGGAGGTGGCCGTTCCTTTGGTGGGGGCAGCTGTCAGAGCGGTGGGAGCTACAGGAGGTTTGGTGGGGGAAGCTGTGGCTCCGGTTACTTCTGAAGGGGCAGCGTGTCCCATTGCAGCAGCCCTGGGCTGTGCAAACCTCACAAGAGACCCTGCAACCCGGTGATGTCCAAGCGATCGACTGTGCTGGCACGTGTGGAGCTGCTTCCAAAAGCCCTGCGTGACTGTCTTCACCAAATGTGCCCTTTGCTTCCCTGTCATTAAAACTTTGTTGCATCACTACATTGGCCTAATGTTTTTTTCCTCACCTTTTCACCTACATCCCACATAGATTATGAAACAACTTTGCCATTAAGCCAGCTGACAGATGCAAACTTTCTGTCTTAAGTCTTTAAGAGACTGTCAGGTCCCTTTACCTAATAGGGAATTTGGAGCAGTAGAAAAAGTGGCATCCTGTGACACATTTCAGGGTTTGTGTTGCTGAAAGGTTATTCTGCTTCCTGGCTATGTGGGATTGTCTTTCCTCCTAACTGCAGAGCTACATAAGGTTGCAATCAAATTATCTAATTGTTTTCAAATTAAGCCTTTCTCTTGAGTCATATTAATGTTTCACTTGGAGCTGATGAGTTTCTTGCCTGCTTATATAAATCACAGGTTAAGATTCTTTAACTTCTTTAAACACTGGAAACTAAGCAACACTGGAAACTAAGCAATTGCTTAATTGCATCTGAATCCTCTAAATTCTTTTTATTTTCCACTTTATTGTCATGTTCACCTTAGTTTTGACAAAGAGAAAAGGTTTTCAAAATGGCACAAGGAAACTATGACAAGGACATTCTGTGTTCTGTCTTCTGGCTCTACTAATAGTCCTTGTGTTTCAATTCATCCTTCTTAACTCTCCAAACATAAATGATCGTGTAGCTCAAACCAAAGTATTATACCCAAAGTCTCTGGTTCTTGATCTCCTTCATGTGCTTTTCAAGTAATATCAAATGGAATAGAGCCAGATTTTAACACATCTTTAGCACTCAATAGACTTCTGTTGAAGTCTCACCCATTTCACTCTTTGCATTTCTGCTCCCACTGATAGCTGTGGAAAACAACACCATAAAGTATTATTTCTGGTTTCATGTCACCAATCATGAACTCTCTTGCCAAACCCAGTGATATGAAAACACATTATACTGCCATATAAATGCAGCCTTTTGATGGGACCACAGTCAAAAGAAATTCCTAAATGTTATCAGGTGTTTAACACTGCCAGTTGAAGATGAAAGATCTCTGAAATCAAGTAATTTGGTTGATTTTTAGTCCCCAAAGAAATGCATTTTTATATTGGATTGCATTCTTTAGGCAGTCATGGTAACGTATTTAAGTTGCCTAAACCTCAGACGTCTCCAGGGACCCATGATAACTCCTAAAAATCGATTCTAAATGGAACATGTTGGCAGAATGGATGAATAGATTCCTTCAGAAGAGAAGAGCTGAGCTATACCACAGAGTGTAAAATCAACCTGAATTTCCATTCTTCAGCTGACCATGTCTCATACCTTACACTTTTTCCCATCCACCAGAGACAGATAATATTAAGCAGCCTGACCTCTTTTGGAAAGGTCTTGCACATGTGGCACTTAAAATCTCATATCCCTCATTTGACGTGAAATAAAACAGCTGCACTGATGAAAAATGATCTATCTGAGGGTTGCCTGGCAAGTTCTGTTTGCTATCTGCTCATACCAGCACAAAGAATTGAGTAATCAGCTCCAGAAACCTCTGTGTCCCACGAAGAAGCAAGGCTGAACTGTTTCATGTGCTTACATTTTAAATGCTTCATTCAACAGTCCTTTTCACAACACCTTTATTACTTAAGCAATTACTATTATATTACCATAAAAGCATATAATTGTTGCTCACAGGCTATGTAAGCAGCGCTAGGAAGCTTAATGACCTAGTGGAAAGGATAGGACCAAAATGGTCTTGTGGACAAAGAAAAGCTGAACAATATTTGATGATGCAGGAGGATTTTAATGCAAACAGGAAATGGGATACATTTCAGAATGAGAAGACACACAACACAAAGTAGACATTTCTTCAGTTCCAGGGAAGGGCACAGTGTTCACTGCCTACTAAGAGTCCATTTTCCACCAGTTGTTCTTCTCCTGTCAGAGTTCCATTGACAATCTCTGCGTCAGGCCTTTCAAATGATTTTCTTTTCTTACACTGACAATGAAAACGGGGATCTAGCATTGTGAGGTGATTGACAGAAGCTGACATTAATAATAGACAAAGTAAAAAGTACAAGAAAAAGGTGTGGGCCAAGTATTCAGTGGTACTAAGCAAGGGTGGCTCCCGTTGATGCAATGGGCTTTCGCCATCTCTGAAAGCCAGCCCCAGATGCCGATCTGGATCTTGCGTTTTCTCCTTCTAAGCTGTCCCGTGGTCTGCAGGTGTTCAGGCTGCCTTAGAATGAGCCACAGTTTCCAAGGCGGGATCCACGGCTGCTGATGTAGGACCTCCTGCTGTAACAACCTCCCATCCCTGAGGAACCTCCAGATCCAAAGGAACCCCCTATTCCTGACATGCCCCCGGAACCAAAGGAGCCCCCAGATCCATAGGAACCCCAGTTCCCTGACATGCTCCCAGAACCAATGGAACTCCCCATCCCATAGGAGCCCCCAGAGGTCGAAGCACCATAGGGCTGGGGAAACGATGCTCCCACAGTGCTTTCCTGGGGGCAGCTGTTGAAAATTGGGCCAGGGAACGTGAGGACAACCGGTGGGGCGTACACCACAGCCCTGGAGTCCCCACATGATGCTACACAGGGCCCAAGGCTGCTGCTGTAGGCACATGGCTGTGGGCATGTCACCTCACAGGCAGGTAAGCACCGGGAGCTGATGTTGCAGGACATTGTTCTCAGGATTTGAGGTGAAACTGGGAAAAACAACATGTAGTCAGGAAATTATCACAGTCAGGTGCCAAGCACTGCCCATCACACACATGACAGCAATTGGGCTAGGTGGGCAGATAGATCCTTTTTCATGCTTCCTATTTTTCCCTCCAGATCTCCTGTCCTAGGATCTAATTTCTTCCCCCCTTCTTCCCCACTGTGGAGGATGCCTACAGCTTTGTTTATTCATAGAATCTTAGAATAGTTAGGGTTGGAAAGGACCTTAAGATCATCTAGTTCCAACCCCCCTGCCATGGGCAGGGACAATTGAGTAGGGTTTATCTTTATATTTGCCCTTGAAGTTTTAAAAGACATAAATAAAAATAAAGTAAGTCTTAAAATTCTATCTCTCAATACATAGAGAGTCTACAAATCTCTACAATTACCCTCTACAACAACCACTGTCTACAAATGCTGCAGTGAGTCTCCTATGAAAAGTAAGTTTTCACTGCGACATCTTACCTTTCTGCAAAAATCACAAATACAGACACAAGAAAGAGTCTTAATTTAAAACTATCACTACAGAGACATGGTGGATTCAGAATTATCAGCTTAAATCATACTCACCTAAAGCACCAAGGTGGGTAAGTCAGGAGAAGGTTTTAGGAGACTCCTGAGATGTTTCTGCTTTTATACCTTTTTGCAGGCAACTCTAGGGATGTGAAGCATATCATAAAATCTCTAGCCCTTACCAAATGATGGTGTTTCTTTCCTGGGTGACTCCTCTAATAACGGCAATTATTTTCATAGATTCTAATTAATAAATCATCCACAGACATACACAATATGACTCTCATATAATAAACTTGGGCTGTCTATTGTGTTGAAATTATACAGACAAATTTCTATTCAATATTATTTTGCTGACTACACTTTATTGAGTACTCCTTACAATTTTTTGACCCCCAAAAAGGGACACCCAAAAGATCCTACCCTACAAGTCTGCTTTCAAGTATGGCCTGACCCTGAGGCTGAGGAACAGGAGATGATTTTGAAGTTCAACCTCACTTCTAGGTTTGAGATCCACCATGGAGTAAAAAGACCTGGTGATGTTTGGGTATGCCCTTGCAGTGACCTCCCTGCCATTTTCATCACAAGGTTCTACTCATAACATCCCAGAATGAATTTTGACACATGGATAAAATTACTCAGACGTCTCAGAGCTTCAAGGAGGTGCCATGTGTCATTTCAATCCCAGTTACCTGTGTTTTGAAACACTTTTTGCAGGGCCTTGTCCTGCCAAGTGCTCAAGAATAATTCATGAGGCCTCATTCTGTCATGGTGCTGTATCATCCATTTGGTCAATAGGTACAGGTGGGGCTGCAAAGAATGCTGACCCCCAATCCAAGGTGGGGTTGGACAATTCCATTTGAGAGGTATTATACCTAAACCTAAGGCTTACAAATAAACTGGGACTGACGCACCAGTAAGCCACCTTCCTTAAAGCCATTATGGAGAAGTAATCAGAGAGATCAGCTCCTGTTTTGGTTGAAACCAGAATGATGCCAAGAAGATTTTTCCACTAAGTTTGAGACAAAAGGAAACTGCTGTGTGTTGGATGTATGTCACTCAAAGTAGGGATCACTAATTACGAATTCAAATTAAAACAATTACAAGGCTTAGAAGAGTATCTTTTTCTTGGTAAGTGACAAGAATTTAGTGAACAATGGGTGACCTCATAGCTTTCCTGTTGCCTAAGAAAGTGTATAAAAGGGTAGAGAACCAAGAAATCTTCTATTCTTCCAGCTCCACTGACTTACTCCTCCAAGGCAACAGGGTAAGTCCAACTTCATTGCATGTCTTTGTAGCAATACAATACTTAAAACTTCTTTTTTATCTTGCAAAAAACTATCAATGTTTTGAAAAGTCAAGATAAAAAGAACAGATTTAGCAAGAACTCTTTGAAAGGCTAAGGAAAGGGAAGAACAGAGCAAGGAAGATTCTGTTACTTTCCTCTGGAGATTTTCTGAAGTTACAGGCAAATCTTCCTGTAGATCTGCTTTGAGAAGAGAATGAATGGGACTTTCTTGAACAAGTAATTGTATAAGGATCAGGTAATCTACTTCCAAAAAAAAAAAAAAAAAAAAGCAATATTATTTGAGATTCAGAAGAGTAAGGGATATAGATGGTAGACAAAGAAAGAAGAAGAGAGAAACCCTGAAAGGGGTTAATCAGGAAGGAAATAGCAGGGAAAATGGAGACTGTGATGGAGGGTTGAACTGAGTGTTGATTATCAGCTGGGGAAGGACAAGGTGCTCATACTGAGAACCTGTTGGCACCTGACTGTGATGGTTTCCTGACTGCATGTTGTCTTTCCCAGCTTCACCTCCATTCTCCAAGAATGATGATGAACAACAGTACCTCTGAATGCTTGGCTGCCTGTGAGATGGCATGCCCCCAGCCATGTGCCTACAGCAGAAACCTTGAGCCCTGTGTAGCATCATGTGGAGACTCCAGAGCTGTGGTGTATGCTCCACCAGTCGTCCTCACGTTCCCTGGCCCGACTCTCAACAGCTGCTCTCAGGACAGCGTTGTGGGAACACCATTTCCCCAGGCCTATGGTGCTTTGACCCAAAATGGCTCTGATGAGTCCTATGCGATGGGGGGTTCCATTGGTTCTGGGGGCATGTCAGGGATGGGGGGTTCCTTTGGAGGCTCCTTTGGGTATGGAGGCTCCTCAGGGATGGGGGGTTCCTTTGGATCTAGGGGCTCCTTTGGTTCTGGGTGCATGTCAGGAGCTGGAGGTTCCTTTGGGTATGGAGGTATGTCAGGGATGAGGGGTTCCTATGGGTATGGAGGTTCCTCTGGGATGGGGGGTTGCTACAGCAGGAGGTCCTACATCAGCAGCCGTGGATCCCGCCTTGGAAACTGTGGCTCATTCTAAGGCAGCCTGAACACCTGCAGACCACGAGACAGCTTAGAAGGAGAAAACACAAGATCCAGATTGGCATCTGGGGCTGGCTTTCAGAGATGGCGAAAGCCCATTGCATCAACGGGAGCCACCCTTGCTTAGTACCACTGAATACTTGGCCCACACCTATTTCTTCCATGTTATGCTTCATCTTCTATCAATAGCAATTTCAGACGATGGCTTCTCTCTTTAAATTCTTATCTGGTGGAATGGGAATGCTTCAGAATTTGCAAGCGGGACTTTGCTGAAATGATTTCAGCTTTTCCTTGTAATGTGCAGTGCCTTTTGTCATCAACATGGATGGTTTGGCTGCCTTTGGACTATGGAATAGGTCATTAGTGAACTGCACCATTCTATTCTGTATCACTTCATGTCATATTAAAATCTTGTTGAATCATATTCCTAGCTTTCTGGGTTTTGTTTTCTTCCATTTTGGTTTACAAACTAGTTTTAGTTAAATTGAACTCAGTGGGAATCAAAATAGCAGGCAGATCTCCTGTGTATGTAAAGGGAAGCAGAATTTAATACCCTGATGACTGGGTGCATGAAAGCATCTATCTCACTGTTCTTTCTGTGTATAGAAGTATTTATACTTATTTTAGTGGCTGAGCCTGGAAGGAGTCATTCCCAAGTACTCATTTTAATATGAGAATATTTTGGGTAATGTGGTTTGCAGAGAATGAGTGGTAGTTGTGCCTGCATTCAGCTTCATCCCCAGTATTGCATTTGCCCAGTACTAACAGGATCAGAGTCAGCAATTCTGAGGCAGAGCCAGGAATGTCTGTATGAACTGCCATACAGATGGCTTCAGTGAAGGTGATGCCTCACAGTTTACAAAAGATAGTTACACCCCCTCATAATTCTTACTCAATAGGCTGAGGAATGAAACATTGAGTAATGAGAGTGAAAATTGCTGGGGCGTTGCTGCCACAATCTTTTCTGCAGCATCCTAGAGCAAAATCTGGTGTTCCTAGACTAGAACTGGAGTCACAGTAGCTAAGTAACTCCTTTGGTAATTTCTGCGTACACACACATCTCTCCAAGTGTCTTCAAGCTGCTAAGAATACCAATTCTGTACTAGAAGAAAGGACTTATACCCAAATAAGAGCAATTTTGCCTCTTAATGTTAAAATACATAGTGTTACTTAAGTCTGTGGATTACAGTCCAACTAGCAGAACATCATTGCTTTGCCTGATAAGTGTCTTGTAAAGTAATGCCATTACCTCTCAGTGATACAATTCAAGCAATATTCAGTTAACATTATGGTGCAGTCCATTGCTGCATAAACCCACAAATATGAGCAGAGCTATTTGAATATTTCTCCAAAGATTTTCTGGTTGAAATTCCAGTTTCACCAAAAGGCTTGCAGGCATATTATGTAATGTGCACAAATATTAGTGAAAACTCCAACAATTTAAAACCAGATGCAAAGTTTTGGTGGAAGAATGTTTCTTGGACAGTCCTGGCAACGATTGTACATGAGGCAGTTTGTGATTCTTAATTTAAGAGAGCATGTAGCTGTTGCCTGAGGGAGCCCATGGTGATGCTTAACTACCTCAGATTATTTACTGCATAAATGCTTCAATTAAGTTAACAAACCACAAGGATTAATACAATCAAAGGAAGGAAATTAATGTTATGCTTGGCAGAGCAGCACTTGCTCAGCCCACGCAGGAGCCCTTTCTTTTCATCAACAGCAGAACAATGGAAATGGCTCCTAAAGAGAAACCTTGATACAGCTGCTGGGTGAATTTCCCAGCTGCAAGGCACATCACAGAGTGCAAGACTTGTAGTCTGATTCTCAATTGCATACAGATAACTTCTTTCCATTCCTTTTGGCTCTGCCTCCCCACAGTACTCAGATCTAGACTAACCCGCTTGCCTTTGCAGTCTAATCAATTTTACCATCAAGGTTAGATAAATCAGAGCACATCTTTGCCTTCTGATAAAGTCAGAGCCCAAGTAGTCATTTCAACTGCTGCTGAGGGTTAAAACAATTTCCTTTGGGAGTTCAAGGAAAGACTTGTAATGTCCCCGAGTAACTGACCTAGCTTCAAAGTTACCTTGGTTTTGAGAGGGAACTGTAGCAAACTAACTCCAGAGATGGAGATTGAATAGAACAGAACTATGATTTTGTTCTATTAACATGGTATATACCAGAAGGGAAAAAACACCTTATTGAAAGATTTCTGACAAATTACATGGGTCATACAGAAGAATTAATTCTTTTCTGATGATAGTCCCCAGTTAATGTATAAGAATTGATACACAAAGTTAACTTTGCAACTATGAAACTACAGTGAAATAAAAGACAGAAGATGGTGCTATGATGCAATAGGGCTTTAATACAAACAAAGACTGGAATACATTCTTGCAGAATGAGGCAAGGAAGAGACAAAGAATGTAATTTCCATTTCAAACAAGGGCTATAATCAATCATGCATGCAGAGGAGCACAGGGCTCACAAGGTGTTCTTCTTTCAGCTGGACGCTTTTACAGTCAAATTCCATTACTTGGTTTACCCTCTTCAGGTTCAGAAAAAACAAAACATAACATGAGCAGATGACAAAGTGAGGCAACATTGGGACCATAAGCCTTAGATAAAGCGCAATGAGATCCCAAGCAACCCCAGCTCCTCTGACATAGGCTGGAGCAGAGGCTGCTTGGCATGTCTGATTTCCAGGTCTCTATGTCAGCTACTAGTTTGTATTTTACTATTTCTCCAGTCATTAACCTTTCTTAAAGATTTAAAATGGCCCATAATTTCCATAGCGATATCTATAATACCCTCTGGAAAAAAGGGGGGAATAATATCTACCATATCCTGAAAAATATGAGTTTCGGTAAAAGTTTCCCAAACGGGAGAATCCACCACCACATGAGCCTTCCCCACCATATGAGCCCCCTCCTATGCCACCACAAGAGCCGCCTGAACCATGAGAGCCCATCCCATAGGAGCTGCCTCCACCACAGGAACCACCAGAGCCTATTCCTCCACCTCCAGAGCCAATTCCACCTCCGGAACCCATTCCTCCACCTCCAGAGCCATTCTGACCCTCAATTTCAGGAAGAGCAGTTCCCACAAAACTTTCCTGAGGGCAGGAGCTTATAATGGGTCCTGGGAAAGTCACGACAACGGGTGGCGCATACACGATTGCTCTTGAGTCTCCACATGAGCTGACACAAGGTTCGTTCCAACAGTTGACATATGGTTGTGGGCATGTTACTTCACATGGCTCAGCACAGCGGGAGCTAATCATCTGTCCATAGGAAGACATCTTTGCAGAAAACAAGCCAACCTGAAAGGCAGAGAGTGCACTGGTCTGGTAAAGTTACAGTCAAAAGAGTGGAAGAATAAATTGTTATAGTAATGTGGAATGGTATTCATCTGAACAGATTCACAGGTCTGAGTCAACTACACTAAACTTCATAGAATCATGGAATGATTTGGGTTGGAAAGGAGCTTAAGATCGTCTAGTTCCAACCCTCTTGTCATGGCCATGAGAGAGGAAACCTGACACTGGACCAGGTTGCTCCAAGCCCCATCCAACCTGGCCTTGAAAACTGGATGGAGCATTCACCACTTCTTTGGGCAGCCTGTTCCAATGCCTCACCACCTCAAAATTTAAGAGTTGGCGATTTTAAAAAAAAAAAAAAGAAAAGAAAGAAAAATAATAATGATTTCTAAGGTACAATCCATTCCATTCTAGAGTGGACTTATGCATTAGAGATACCACAAACCAAGTGAAATGAATTACTGGGTAGGGGCTTCCGAGTCTACTCCCATCCCTTTCTAGTGCTCCATTGCTCCATAGTCTATTCCCCAAATGATTTCTGGGAAGAATGTCTCTCCTTCCTTTTCTAACATCATTCTCTTTGCAGTACTTTTGTCTGGGAGTCAGTCTCAGTCCCTATGCTGATATGTCCCAGTCCCTATGCTGATAGTTTCTGGGCTATCCTGTCCCCATAAATAGATACTCAATTCCTATGAATTGCTGCTGTCTACATTTTTGGAACTCCCTTTCCTTTATTCCCCCATACACGTGGCAATGTCTGTATCCACTCTACTTAAAAGTTACAGTTCCCAACTAAAATGATTTTAGATAATAAGGTCCTACCTTTAAATAGGATATAGGATATATAACCTCATATTAATGCTACCTATAAATCCACATCTATAATTATGAACTGATTCAGTTAAATCAGACTTACCCAGTCACCAAGAAGAGCAAGTCAGCAGAGGCAGCTACAGAGATCTGAGTTACAAGCACTTTTATATGCTGTCATAGAGAATAGAAATTAGGAGATACCTTTACGCAACCGTTCTCCACATCTTGTGAAACAGAATGTTTTCCCCTGGTGATGCCTGCCTTTGTTGCAACTGTTTTGATAACAGCTTATGATTATTAGATAAATTCTAATCCCACATGGCATGATGCACAAACTTCAACAATCTTGTCTTTTTGCTAAAATCTCACAATAAATTGAGGTTAGTTTTCTCTTCAATACTTGCTAGTACTTGTGAAGGCACCTCAGAGATGGATAAACTGCATGCTGTTAGTAAGTAGAGGATTCCACATTATCATTTGTCATTGAAAGTAATAATAACCGTGGCCTTCTGAATTTTTCCTCTTTATAAGTAGGAAATCTTTTTTACCTTAAATAGTGTCCACAGCCATTGTGTACTCATTCCAGGGGCTTTGGGACTACAGTTTATGGCTTGGGACTGTCCTTTGGACAGATGCTCTCCTACATGACTGTACCATGTCCAGAATGAGTAGAAAGTAAGAGACACAAAAGCAATCCACAGACACAATAACCCAATCAGAATTAGCAACATCAGAGCTTTTTCAATTTATCATCAGTTCCTCATCCAAAAGGCCTTCAGAATAAACAACAAAACCCCATTAACAACTATGAATTTTCCTTTCTGAGAATGCTTGTCGGAAGCCAATATGAGAAGAAAAACATATCACCTGTGGGACTAGAAGATCCACAGGAAATATCACCTGAAGTACAAGTCCATAAGCTGAGCTAGAATAAATTCACAAGGCCTCAAAAATGCTGATACTGTGATTCACATAATCACATTTACATAAAAAACCCAACCTTCTTATCTGTGTTCTTGTGACAAATTATCAAAACCAAAACTAAAAAAAAACCCAAACAAATCCCAAAACCCAGATAATTTGGTTGCATGACCATGAAAACAATATAATGACCAGAGGAATGTATACAGCCAATAGAGATGTGACAGCAGGCTGAACAGAATACCATGACTCACATAATTTGTGGGAATGAGAAGTAATTAATAATTACAGCAATCTACAGCTGAAGCAATTAAAGGAGTTACCAAACAAAATAGTTTTCAAAAGTTAATAAGGATCTCATTGTTATTGAAGTTTTCCGAAGAAAACTTGCTCAAAACACAGATTCTTAACTGACATTGCAGAAAATCGCACTGGCTTGAGCATCTGCAGGTTTACATCTGCGGCCTTACATCACTGAAATCTTTTAAACAGAGAGATATAGATACCCTCCCTCACCAGGCGAAAGCAAAATTCTTCTGAAAACAGGAAGAAAAAACATCAAGGATTTTGCATTTTTCCCTAAAAATCTGTTGCTTCATATATAGAGCTCCATACATAAACCAGCAGTCTGGCCTGGCTGAGGAATCTGAGGCTTGGTATTTACAGCTTTAGATTTAAGCTCACCTCACATAAAGCAATCCTGAAGCATTACCTGAAAGATGCCTCATGTTTTTCCTACCATGCTGTTGTTGCTGTTGTTGTTGTTGTTGTCGGCTTTATTGATTTTTCTGTTTTAGAAATCCCAAGCCTGATCCTTACCCAGCTCCTTTGCATACAAAGATTAAATCTTAAAGAGGAAGCTGGTTTAATTGCTATTGCTCTCACCTTTGCTATGCTATAATTTTCTAAATTGGTCTGGAAGCTCCCTTCTCTGAAAGGAAATAGCCTATATTATTATCACAGATTGTAGCAAAACATTATCCTTAACCTTCATTTTTCCACAGATTTTATCACAGCAATTCCAGGCAGATAGTGCGTGTAAGAGAATAACAAACAACACAGTGCAGGCTAAAATATGGGAATCGCTGTGCAGGAGTGCTGCAGGAGCAGCTTTGGATCCTGGACATCCACATTTGGACGTACTTTTCCAGTGTGGTCTAAGAGCTGCCACCTGGAAACTTATTTCCTAAATTGCTGAAACTGGAGGGTCGATATTACTGAGTGCTTCTTCGTGCCTAATTGCAAGGCTGAATATGAAATGAGGAACTGAAGGACTAGATCAGCACTGTGTGCTCTTTCTTTATCTGTATAATCAGTGTTATTATATTCCCCATACCATAGCAGTATCTGTTTTGTATTTTCATATTTATTGTTAGTTGTGTATTACATTTACTTGATTCCTTTTGTTCAATCCCATTAAAAAGAATAATAACTTGTTTTGTTGGCAGCCTGTGTTTGGAGTTGTTGGAGATGGTTAAGTATAGGAAACTTTGTGACTGTGGGCCAAGCAGAGCACAAGACAACAGAGGAAAATGAGAAAGACTCCAGATTGATGACAAAATTTCTAATTTTCCAGAAAACTTGATGTTTCCAGCAGTTCCTAAAATTGAAGGAACTTCATTTCTTCTTAAAATCACACTCACATCTGACTGCCATGTCTCAGGTTTTGTCTTTGATTTATAACAGTTTTCTCCAGTAACCATTTCTTAGAACATTGGCTGTGTAACTATGTGGTTGCCACAGGAGAAAGGAAGACATAGGGTTAGATTCAGTTCCAGATTGAGATAGCCACACTTGGGTGTCTGAAAATACATATCTCAGTTTCTCTTACAGTCAGCAGACATGTTTGGTGGAGCCTGGAGATCTGTCCATGCATTCACCTTTCCATAAATGCTTGCATTTCATCAACTGAGCTGTTCTCTCATCTCTTTGAAGTCCTGTCTAGTTGTCCTTTGAAGGCACTGGAAGTTTAGAAACCGCACTGATATGGAGACCTTGATCAGCCACCACTGAGTATTTTAGTTTCCATTGGGACTAAGATGACTTTCTTCCAGTTTTTGCCTTTTCCACACTCTTCACTTAATCCCCTTTCAGTAAAATTGACCCTGATCCTAGGGGAAATTCATAGTCAATGACCTCAGCCTACTCATCTCCCATTTACATCCTGAATACCTAGTCACATCTTCAAGTATTTTATGGCAATATGAAGCTCTCATTATATAGATTTCCTCTCTTCTGAATAGGTTTGGTTATGTTTTCTAGCTACAGTGCAACAAAATGTGGTGATTAAATAATTATGCACACAAATAATTCTGAAGCTGAAGAATTCTTCCCTGCCACTAAATGAGATTTGCTCAGAGCTCAGGAATAATTACACTGCTGATATTTTAATGGGCATCTTTCATCTTAAAAACAAGACACAACTAATATTCTTTAATATATGAGTGCTGCTCTCCTGAACAAAACCTGAGGGTATGTGAAATTGCAGCCCCAGGTGTAACTACAGCTTGCATATCTGTGTATAATTTAGCTCTGTGTAAAAGCTGGCTAATCTATACCTCTCAGGCTGCACACAATATACCCATCACCCAAGCATGTTTTCCAGGTGAGACCCATTTTGCTTGACCAGCAACATGGTTGTAGGATTTGGAGGGCTACTGGGTTATCTGAAGTCCCCAGGTGTGGGAAAGGCTGATGTAGCAGCATTGATAAGGACCCTGGGTTGCTTCATAAATCAGCCAAGCCCAGCCCTGTCCTACTCCACCTTGCCCTACAAGGCTCAGACCCTGAGCAGGAGACTTGCATCTTTGTCTCAGTGTGAGTTGCTGCAAAGAGGTGAAGGACCTCCTTAAGAGCCAAGAGCTTTTTAGGGGCAAGAAGGGCACAGTGATGGGTACTTATCGCGGTAGCAACTGTGTATTCAAAGAGCCTGGAATAACATGTTTCTACCATGGTGAAGGGGCATGGGGGTTACTTCAGCCTTCTTAAAGTACAAGTATGGTAGAGATGTCTATAGACCTGTTTTTTAATAAGGTGAGTGCTTGTGAGTCCTAGTTTTTGATGACTTACAGAGTGCCTTGGAAATTTCAGTCTTCTAAATAGTTCACTTTTAATACTTTGTTAGTGCTTATGGTATGTGCTGACACTGCCAGAGTGGTTTCATGCTCTTGTATCACCTTATGGTTCACAGAGGGTGTGGTACTAATTCAATTTAATAATTTATTAATTCTAAAGCTATTAATTAAATCTTCATTCTGGTTCATTACCTGATTAGGCCCATTAAGCTCAGCAAGAAAAACCGGCAGCTGACTTTCAGTTCTTTTAAGGCTATTGGACTAAGAAAGCATTGATCTGGTGGTACAGAGCACTGAAATGAATTTGTAGGTGAGCTTGGAGACAGAGAAGGGCCTTCTCATGAAAGGAAAAGCAGAATTCTGCTGTCCAGAGAAAATGTTTGAGTTACGCTGCCACATCCCTTTCTGCTGCACGTATCTTTTCAGTACTGTTTCTTCCAACTTAGGTCAACAAAACTAGAGCTCCAGCTTGAGTAGAAGGCTGCTCCAATTGCCACCATACTCCTATCTCGCTCCAAATAACTAATGTAAAAACCTGAAAAAGAGATTTAAACAGAAGGAGCATCCCATGAAGGATTTGTTCTGCCCCTTTTGTGTCTGTCCTATGTCTTGGTCTTCGTGACCCCATCATAAATTTGGATAGTGTGTGATATGGAATTATAATGACAGGTTTTAAGTAATAAGACTAATAATAATTAGGTGTGCCTAATTCTTAGGTCCACCCTTATGTATAGAGTGTCCTTAGACAGGTTAGGTGGCTTTTGGGAATCAGCTGTCCCATAGTAAGATGACAATTGTGCCATACAGGTGTAAAGAGAAAGAAGGTTCGCAAGAAGCGATGAGAGGTTGATGTGGGATGACATGATGACAATGAAATGCGGCATCCTTTATGGTGACTGAAACAGGGGAAGGTAGAGGAACAGCTGGGTTCCCACACTGGGAGGCAATAGGGGTGGAAAGCACTGAAACAAGCAGTGTAAGAGGAACAGCATTTGAGGGAGGTAGTTACATGGCAGGCAAAGGAGGAAAGACCAAGAGTGAAGACCAAATTTTTAGAAAGATGCAGTATTTCAGAAATACTTTTTCTTTTGCGGGGTTGATAAAATGTCTCAAGATTGGCTTAGGCAGATAAGTAGAGAATATTGAGGGTTCTTTAAAAATGTGATGTGTCAACACACACTGAATGGACCCAAACAGTGTGTCTACATTTCAGACAGCAGAGCCCTATGTTGCACAGCATGGATGTTACACATTTTTCCAAAAGGGATCAGTCTCTAAGTTCCTAGGCTTAAAGGCTAATGGCTCTTCTGTAAAAGCCCTCAGCAAAGCTCTTGGAGGTTAGATCACCATGTGCAAGCTGCTTCATTCATTCACAAGAAAAATAGAATCATAGAATCAACTAGCTTGGAAAAGACCTTTAAGATCATCAAGTCCAACCATTATTCCATCACTGCCAAAACCACTACTAAATCTTGTCATTGAGGGCCTCATCTGCAGGGGTTTTGAACACTTAAAGCTGTATTATTTTTGAAGAATGAAAGGTGTAAATCACTTCCTGAATCCCCTTGTGCAAGTAGATTATTGTTAAATGCATTGAACTGCTGCACTGGCTGGGGTGTAGAGGATGAGTCAAGACAGGGTCTTTTGAACTGCAGGTTCCTGAGAGCTCCACCCTGCCCATGAGCTCATTACCACATTTTTCACAACACTTTTTGTGTGAGCCAGGCAAACAACAAAGCTTCTATCTCTCACCTGCCTCTCAGTTTATCTAGGGTGTGACCCAGTTCACAAGCTAATCTTCAAAGATATAGTAATTACATCTTCATATTAGATCAATAAAGTAGGGCACATAATAATGTCTACAAGATAAACTAGAGGATTTATAAGAGTTCCCATCCTGTCAAATGAAAAAATTATATATACGCACACCAAACATTTGAGGGGCTCATTGTAGAAGAATTTACAGGGCGCAGGCAGCATGTATGGGCTGCTCATGTTCCAGGTGAGCCAGCTGAGAAGACACAAATCACTGTGAAGGTGAAAGCCTGGGGCTGCAACAAGCAGATGGGTAAACTGTCTTCTCAGAGGCTGGCAGCTTCCCAGGGAGACTGGCAGGAATCCAGGCTGCTTAGCATGTTTTCATATGATGTTTTAACATTGCTGTAAAGTTTTCTGCAATCCCTTTTCTCTTTGATGAACTGCCTGGGAAAACAACCTCTGTATGTGGCCACATGAGCTGCTTGTAGAATAAGTTGTGCACCCAGATGTTCATGGACATCTGCCTCCACAGGTGAGAGCAAATCATTAAATAACAGCTCTCAAGGCTTGATAAGCCCAACAATGGGGAATTAGAGTTTAGCCAGCTTGCACATATCAGTTTTAGGGGTAAGTTTACCTATGAATTTTATTTCACTTCTGTAAACTGGGCTTTTAGCTTGCAAAGACTATCAGAGGTGCCCAAGCATAACTACAGTAGTATTATTCTAGGGATGAAAACGACAATGCTTGCATTTAGAATGGTCAGGGGTTTTTTATTATTCCTCTTTAGAGGAATAAAATCTTAGAATTGGGGAGGGAGGGAAGAGTGGAGAAGGGAATAGCTAAGGATTTCTCCTGAACTGAATTAAATAATAAGGAAAATTTGGGTGTCATTCATTTTCATCTACTTTTTGTTTTTCAGCTGATACGTCAGCCCATGAACTCTCAAAACCACAGTGTACTTAACAGGAT